CCCCCCCCCCCCCCCCCCCCCCCCACTTGGCATCAGCTCCCTGGACAAGGACTCTTGTGGGGGGGGAAACACTGCCAATGCCCCTGGGTGAGGCTAGAAATGGCTTCCCCCTTCATCAGTTCCCTGGACAAACAAGGTTTCCTGCAGGGGGAACTGCCTCTTCCCCTTGGTCCAGCTAGAAATGGCTCCCCCGCTCCACCTCTTTGGATGAGGGTTCCGAGCAAGATGAACACTTCTAGAGAGACAGGGGGCATAAGAAGTGACTTCCCCCTTGTGTCAGCTCCTTAGACAAGGGTTCCTAGGGAAGAACGTTTTGGCTGCGCCCATGAATCCATAAGACTAAAGCATCCCCCCAGATGCAGCTCCCCAGGCGAGGAGGGTTCCGTTTCTGTCCAAGGAACCCTGTGCCCCACACCCATGCGAGGCAAGTACCTGGCTGCCGGTCCCGGCTGATGGACCCATCCACGCGGTTGCCACGGTTACGGCGGCGCCTGCTCCGGTTGCGTCGCTGGGGTTTTGAGTCATCCTCTGGCAAAGCATGGAGTGGGTCATAGGCCTTCCCAGCCCCCACTTCCCCTCCCAGAGAAGCCAGGTTCACCCCCCACCCCTGCTCTGAGTCCATCCCAGCCCCCCACTCCCCTCCCAGGGAACCCCAGAATCCAGGACAGTTCCTCACCCAGGCCATTTTCAGCCACCGAGAGTCCATCAGACTCGGTGGCTCCATCCATGACGGTGGCATCCTCATCAGTGCGGCGGCGCCGGGAGCGGCGCCGGCGACTGGGGACTGGCTGCGACTCGCTGGCGTCCGTATCAGCCGTGGCATCCGTCTCGGCCGTATCCAGCAGGCTGTAGGGGTTGCTGTCGGGGTCCTTGAGCACTGTAGGGTGGGGGGGAGCAACAGAGCTGTGACACCTAGAGAACCCAGGAATCCTGGAGACAGCCCTTACCCACCAAGAAAGAAAGAAGGTAAGCCAGGGGTTCACAGGCTGCCACGGGAAGGAGGTGGGGAGTTACCTGAGCTGATGGAAGAGCTGCTGTACTTGCTGCCCCCTCCTCCCCCACCCCGGGGGGTTTGAGGGGGCCCCCGGCCCCGGCCCACTCCCGGGCGCCGCCGCCCATCTTCGGGGCGGGGGTGGGGGTCCCTCTCACCACCCGCCGGGCGCTCTGCCTCATCCCGCCTCTCTGTCTCCGTCTCCGAGGCATTGGACATGTCCGAGCTGGTGCCTGAGAGGAGAGGTGAGAGAAAGGGATTAACTCCTACTGAGGAGAGTAAAAGGGATAGTCAGTTAGGACCCAAAAGACAGCTGGGGGCTAAGATCAGCTGGGAAGACAGCAGGGATCTAAGCAGGTTAGAACAAAGGGCTGGGGGCCTAGCTGAAATGCATCCATTCCTGGAGTGGGGCATGTTGAGGTAGGAGAGAAAGAAACCATGCTGAGATATAACCAGGGGGCACACCTGGGGTGTCTCAACTTCCCCAAAAGCAGTCCAAATGCCCCCCACCCCACCCCAGCCCTCAAGTTACCATAGCCAGAGTTGGGCCCGCGGCGCCCACGGCCCCGCCCACCATAGCTGCCGCCATACGTGCGGGGGCCGTGCAGGGAGGACGAGGTGCTGTCATCGGTGGCATAGCCACCCCGCTCCTTGTCAGCCCGGCTGGACAGCGGCCGGAAGCCCATCCCAATCTGCCGGAGCTGCTCATCAATCTGCAGCCGCTCCAGGCGCAGCTGCTCCACCTCCTGGGTGGGGTGAGGAAAAACAAGCCCTTGTTAACACAGGAAGGGGAATGGATTCACAAGACCAGCGCTATAGGAGTGGGGGAGCCCATTTAGGAGCACACCCAAGAGTATGGAAACCTTACCGAGGCATTGCCAGGAAGGGAGAATTAAGGACTGCACCATAGTGCATGGGAACCAACTAGCTGCCTTGCCATGGGGTTGTCAGGAAGGGGAACTAATTTAGGAAAGCACCATAGGGCACCAGAACCAATTAGCGGCTACACCATGGTTATCAGGGAGGGGGGACTAATTTAGGAATGCACCAGGAAGCAAGGGAACCACATAGCAAATGTACCATGGGGTTGAATGGGATAATACAGAAAGACACCACGAAGCAGAGGAACCTATTAGCAGCGGCACCATTGTGTCTGCTGCATAGGAACCAAAGTTCACAGGTAAAAGGGAACTATAGCCGGATTGTGGAAGGAGAGGCAACTCATTTGGAGCGCACCCAGGGTCAAGAGGAGCCAATTAGCAACCGCACCAATGTGTCTGGGGCATAGAAACCAAAGTGCAGCCTCAGAGAGTAGGGAAGAACTGGCTAGAAGGGGAGCAGTGACAGGAGGAGGAAGTCATTTGTGAGAGCTCCTTGAGTCAGGGAGAACCAATTAAGGGGCTGGGGGGGGGGCGGGGGGGGGGGGGGGGGGGGGTGGGGGCCCAAAGTGTGCCATTAAAACAAGCCACTCGGATAGATGGGAACTTGTTGTTACGGGCCTGTGAAAAGAGAGGGAAGGCATTTGTGCATGCACCCAATGTGGGGCGGGGGGGGACACCCAAAGTGCCCCATAGAAACAGGACAGGGAGCAGCTGTATTGCAAGGGGAAAACCAATTCTGGTTGTACAGAGGCAGGAAGTGTGGGGGGAAAGGCACACTGGACAGCAGGGGGGCACTGGAAGAGGGGCAGGGGAAGCCAGCAAGAGGCATGCAAATGTATGCAACCACCAAATGGGTCCCCCCGAGGTGAAATTGGTTCCATCCTACCCCTTAGATTGCGGGGATGTTCAAGTCCCCCTGATACAATTCTCCCCCCCCACTCCCCCAGCAAGTCCATGCAGTAACAGGGGCAAAACACAGCCCCTTAATTGCCCTATGGGGGCAGTTACCTGCAGGTAGGAAAGGTGATACTCTAGCAGGGCCTGGGCATTGCTGATGTTCTCTCGCGTCCCCACAAAGATGAAGGGGACCATGCCCTGAGGGCGGGGCAGAAAAGGGTTAATCAGGGGGGAAACAACATGGAACCCCCCCCC